GGGCCTCCTGGACACACACTGGGAGGGGTGGACAGGGAGCACGAGGATGCTCGGGGCCTCCTGGACACATACTGGGAGGGGTGGCCACAGGATCCCCACCACAGGGTACACAGGCACCACCCAGTTACACCAGGGAGAGAAGGGTCATTCCAGGGGAAGCAGTGGGCAGGGGGCCATGTTTACAGGAGACAGTGACGGGATGCATGTGTGTACATAGAGAAGACAGGCCATTCCAGGAATCTGTGTGTGAATATGGGAGAGAGGCCTTACCCAGGGGTGTGTGTGTGCGTGTGTGTGTGTAACAGGCCTTCCCTAGGTGCGTATACACGTGGCCCCGGGTGTGCCATGAGTGTGTGTGCCCATGTGCTGTGGCAGTGTGCTAACCAGAGTGTGCCTGGTGTGCTGTAGTGTGTGTGTTTGTGTGTGCTGTGTGGGCACCTCACATGCTGATGAGCACCTGTAGTGCGGGGCCAGCAGACCAGAGAGGCCTTCTCTGAGGGGGTGGTGTCAGAGGACATGCGGGGGCAAGGGCCCAGCATCTGCACCCCGGGGAGGCCAGGCCCCTCCACACGTACTTCTCACTGTTGGCCAGGCGGCGGTACTCGCCGACAGTCATGGCCTTCTTCTGGATGTTGTACTGCGTAAAGAGGCCCGACTGGCCCGTCACCACCTGCTGGATGGGCGCCGGGATGACCACGTCATCAATGTCATCGTACGTCTGCCGTGGCTTCCACTCCTTTGGGGGGATGATCTGCAGGAACAAGAGCCAGGTCAGCAACATCCTGCACCAGGGCCTCCCCTCGTCCACTGAGTGCCTCGGTAAGGAGAAAGGTTGGCAGTTTGAACCCACCAGCAGCTCCATGGCAATTGGCTCCTGTAAAGATGACAGCTTAGACATGGGGACCCCCAATGGCAGAGCTGAGCACACCTCTGCAGCTGGACCCCAGAGCACCAGGGTCAAGCCCAACTCAGCTCTGCATGACAACAAACTGAGCAAACACAAGACAGGCCAAATGCTCGCCATTCAGGCAGGAGCCCTGGGTTCTGTTCCCGTCCGACACCCCCATGCACGGCCCCCAGCGCTGTGTCAGTGGAGGCGTGTGTGGTGCCGGGACGATGAACAGCTTCCAGCAGAGCTTCCAGACTTGGAAGAAAGGTCTGGCGATCAACTGCTGAGACGCAGCCAATAAACTCCCGTGGCTCACAGCGGTCCACTCTGTCACTCATCAAGGCTTGGCCCAGGCAGTGTCTCCTTCTGCTATCCACGAGTCAGGGAAGCTGACAGCGGCAACAGGGTGTGACTGGGTCTGTGAGGGGGGTGGGCTCTCAGACATCTGCGCCTGCCCACAGGAGGTAGACCAGGACACAGCCCTGTCCGCTCACTCTCCACACCCAGACTCGCAAACAGACGGAGAACTACAGGCCGTCATGTTCGCCCCAGGCCCGGCTCCTGGGAGCACGTTCTGGGTGCGAAGCAGACCTGGGAAAGCAGGACGCCTGCCAGCCCTCGGGAGTTTACATGCCCCGCAAGAAGGCAGAGAAAAGATGCTCAGAACAGTAAAAGAATCAAGGTGCTTAGTGACCATGCTGTAAGTCCTGGGCTGGGCCTGAATCAAGCCCCCCAGACTCCTGAACTGTGACCTTCACTGGAAACAAGAGAGTCTTTGCAGGTGTGATGAGACCAGGATGGGGTCCCAATGGAGCAGGGAGGGCCTGACGTGCCAATGAGGGCATCAGGTAGAAGAGGAAAAACAGGACACATGAGGAGACACCATGTGACCACGGAGGCAAGATGAGAGTGAGGCAGCCGCAAGCCAAGGCCTGCTGGCAGCCAGGAGAACTGGGAGAGGCCAGGAGGGGTCCTCCGGGAGCCTCGGTCGGCTCACACCATGCACTCAAAGACGTCTGGCCTCCAGGACTATGGTCCAAGGATGAAGGAGCGGGCCAAGCACCCAGAGCCTGAGTCTGTGTGGGTTGGGGTGGTCTCGGAGAAGGGTGCTGCAAGGAAAACACAGCCAGTTCCCGGTGGCCCGGCCCAGCCAGCAGGCACTGCCACCACAGCCCACCCCAAGCAGGTTCCAGCTCTTTCCATGAAGGTACCAGGGCTGCCAACAAGTACTGGGTGTTTGAGCCTCTGGACAGTACCCCATCCACTACGCTCCCTTGGAGCTGGGTCCTGGGTCCAGCAGCTTCATGACAATGACCCTATTGGGGGGGGGGGGTGTACACAGCTGTGGTCCTGTGGTTGTCCTCAGCTGAGGAAACTGAGGCACAGAGGAAATGAGCAGTCTGCTGGGAAGGCACAGAGCCAGGATTCAGGCCGAGTCTGGCGGCTACCATGTCCCAGCGTCACAGAGAAGCCCTGGTGCCTCGGGTGGTGTGTCCTGGACAGGGTCTCTCAAAAGTCCAGGCACACAGAGAATGCAGTCAGGAGGATGAAGTTGCAACACAGTCCCCGTGAACACACAGGTCACGTGAACACACAGGCCCCGTGAACACACAGGCCCCGTGAACACACAGGCCACGTGAACACACAGGCCCCGTGAACACACAGGCCCCGTGAACACACAGGCCCCGTGAACACACAGGCCACGTGAACACACAGGCCACGTGAACACACAGGCCCCGTGAACACACAGACCCCGTGAACACACAGGCTCCATGAAAACACAGGCCATGTAAACACACAGACCCCGACACAGGCTCTGTGAACACACAGGCCACGTGAACACACAGGCCACGTGAACACACAGGCTCCATGAAAACACAGGCTCCGTGAAAACACAGGCTCTGTGAACACACTGGTCACGTGAACACACAGGCCACGTGAATACACAGGCTCCATGAAAACACAGGCCACGTAAACACACAGACCCCGACACAGGCTCTGTGAACACACAGGCCACGTGAACACACAGGTCACGTGAACACACAGGCCACGTGAACACACAGGCTCCATGAAAACACAGGCTCCGTGAAAACACAGGCCATGTGAACACACAGGCCACATGAACACACAGGCCACATGAACACACAGGCTCTGTGAACACACAGGCTCTGTGAACACACAGGCTCTGTGAACACACAGGCCACGTGAACACACTGGTCACGTGAACACACAGGCCACGTGAACACACAGGTTCCATGAAAACACAGGCCACGTAAACACACAGGCCATGTGAACACACAGGCCACGTGAACACACAGGCTCCGTGAACACACAGGCCACGTGAACACAGAGGTCACGTGAACACACAGGCCACATGAACACACAGGCCCTGTGAACACACAAGGCTCCATGAACACACAGGCCACGTGAACACACAGGCTCCGTGAACACACACAGGCCACGTGAACACACAGGTCCCATGAACACAGTTTCCATGAACACACAGGCCACGTGAACACACAGGATCTGCTCAGAGCCAGCACAAGATAAGAAGCTTCCCAAGGAATCCCTCAGGATGGAAGAAATACGCAGGACACGGGCCCTGAAGGAGGACCTTTAGACGGTGAGAATTGGGGCAAATGAGCAGGGAGCATTTAGGGCAGCTGGCTGCACCTCCCTGATGACAAGCTGGGGGGCCTGAGCTGACAGATGCTCCCAGATAGCAAGACCACTCAGTCTGAGTAGCACAAGGCCAGGTGTTCAAAGTGGACACAAGACACTTGGCAAGTGGCCGACACAACCCTGTGCTCAAGCTGAGAGTTCCTGATGGGAGATGGGAATGCCTAGCAAGAGAGCAACAAGTGAGGGGCTGCCCACTGCCCTGCCTGTCCCACAGCGGTCCCACCAGGAAGCAGGGTCTGAGTGGGCAGGTCTGAGTACCAAAGAGGATGCTCGGCCCTTTCCAGAAGGACCCTAGCACTGACCACCCACAGCATGTCCCTAACAGCCCCCCTACCTCAGCACTTCTCTGGGACAGCTGGGAAACCCACTGGGAACCTCCCGAGGGCCCCTGAACCAGTCAAGCAGTGAAAGAAGCCCACTGCTGGCTGGCCCCAGCCCAGAAGGCTATGTCAGTGGGGTCAGGGGGGAGGACATTAAGAGGCCCCCAACCAAGACAGGCGTGGGTACACTCACACCTCCACACAGACATGTACACATGGGCACATGCCCACTGAAGTAGTCCAGGCTGACGAGGGTGGCAGAGGGGACCACCAGGCCAGGAGGCTGACTGCAGGAGGGAAGGACGCGGGTCCCCATCTGTTCCCACAGAGTGACAGCGAGGCCAGCTGGATGGCAGGAGATACTGACCTGCTTCCCCGATGAGCCAGGAGCCTGCCTGTGGGCGTGAGTGTGTGTGCAGGTGTGTGCAGATATGGGGGCTGAACATGTGCAGTCGAGTGTAGGTGTGCAACGTGTATGTGCTCAACTGTGTGAGCATACATGGATGTGGGGGTATGTACATAACAGGAGGGCCAAGAATGTGTCTAATGTGGACGTGTGTGTGTGCGTGCACAGGTAGGTGGCTTGAACATGCAACTATTGTGTATGTGTGAAGTATGGATGTGCACAGGAGCGGGAGTGTGAACGTGGGTACCTGTGCATTTGTGTGTGCATGCAGTGTGTGCACAGTTAGGTGGCATGAACATGCGTTGTGTTTATGAGGTATGTGTGCAGGTGCAAGGGTGTATACGTGTACAATTTTGTGTGTGTGTGAGGTATCTGTGTGCAGGTGCAGGGCAGGAACATGTGCCGTTCTGTATTGTGTGTGTGTGTATTTGTGAGGTGTGTGTGTGCAGGTGCGAGACAGGAACATGTGCAGTTGTGTATTATGTGTGTGTGTGAGGTGTGTGTGTGCAGGTGTGGGGCAGGAACATGTGCAGTTGTGTATTATGTGTGTGT